AACCGTCAACGTGATCCCCCTATTGAGACCCTTACCTAATGCCCATTAAATGAACTATTTTTCTTTCATAGTTAGGAGAAAAGACTGATGAATAAAGCCGGCAAAAGTCAAAATAAAAACGCAGTTGTGCAGTTTTGATCGAGAGTTCCGGCTTGTCCGTACACAATCTTTTGTTTTTATGTTTACAAATTGTGACTGAAAAGAATGATGGGAAGTTTACACTAGTCAGTAAGTCCAAAAGTAAGTTCATACAGTAGGAAAATGAAGGAATTTTGCAGGGTTTTAAGTCTTTTCTGGTGACTCGAAAGGAACCGATAAAAATCTAGTATTTCTTGTCCTTCAATTCGTGGCCTAAATACACCCTATCCTGTTAATTCCTGTGGTTTTTATCCCTTCAATTCTACAGTTCGACGCTCTTGAATCTCTATATTCTAAATATACCGTATCCCGTTAACTTTTTCCGCAAGTATCGTGTATCCTGAAAATTTTTTATCCAAAATATAGTATCCAGAGAACCCCTTGTTGGGCTTCCTAGGTAAATTAAATCGATGTATCTCTCTTATTTGATTATTCAAATTGAGCATTTACGTGGCAATCGGAGACTGGTTTAAGAACGAATGCAAAACGAGAAAAACACAAAACAAACCAATAGAACTATGCTAGAACAGTTTTAGAAAATCGGCCGTACATTATCAGTGAGATCAAACATGAAAGGCTTATTTGGCCTTGATTGAGATTCTGTCGATGTTGCAAGTGAGTGGTGAATAATCGGCTATGCTGTTAACTGAAGGCTATCTGAAGACAAAAAGCAAAGTAAGTCAGACGTCCGCTGGTCTCATTGTCATCTCAGTCCTCTTCAAGGAGGGATAACTTTTCCAGCGATACCAAGTCACTTCGTCAAGGACTGAACGATTTTCATGATAATAGAAGTCACTCAAGTCATTATTTCAGATATATTCATTCATTTATGGCAAAAATAAAATTTCAACTCCTGGCAAAGTTACAGCTGTTATGTTTATTTTCGCATGCTAGCATTTGTTTGATTACACGGGAAACTGATATCTGAAACTGAAGCAGAAAATGCAATGGACAGATAAAATTGTGTTGTTTGTGTCAAAACTTGAGATTAAAAGTGTTGAAAAAGCAGGGAAGAAGTCTCAAGTATTTTGTTTTTTTCTAAACTGGAACAAATTTAGTACTCACTTGCACCTGGAATTCTTTGTGGAGTTATCTTCTCATTACTTTTACCTATGGAATTGAGTACACAAAATCATAGCGGAAATTGTTAGTTTAGCGAAAAGCAGAACTAGACAAAGTTAACGATATCTTTATCTAAATGTACGGTTAGATTTACGATATATATTTATTACTCTATCTAGAAGTCGCAAAATACTTTGGAAAAGTGAAAAATAAACCATGTAAATCGGGCTTCGAAGTCGTCGAACTTGAAAGAAGTCGCGGCTGATTGACCGCTCGGCCAAAACAAACTCGTCACTTCAAGCGGCCTAGTCGTTTAAACACCCGATTCGCCTTTAATCTACCGCTTATAAGCGAATCTAATTATACCAAATTGCTTTATCAGCATGTATGTGGTAATTTGGTATAATTAGATTCGCTTATAAGCGGTAGATTATAGGCGAATCGGGTGGTTTAAAACATGCATATGTCGCGTATGTACGGGTTGATCTGGAAAGCCTGGGATCTAATTAACATTTTGGGTCCAAATTCGTACGTGTTCGAGCGAAAAAATATATGCATGCCACCGACTTCGTTGGTGGCATGTTTTGAGGGAGGATAAGCGAAAAGAAACATTGGTAATAGGAGTTGAACTAGCAAAAACGGCCCTAAGGTTTGTTTCGGGACCTAGATTTTAGCGAGGTTCATCATTTTCTGATGACAGACGAGAAACAAAAACAGAGTATATCCGTACAAATGCCACACTGTTATTTGCCTCGTGTGAGAACAAAGACAGCGATCACGTTCAGCAAGTAAGTATCACAACGGCAAAGTCCCACGTAGGGTCATCCAGAGGTCAGTGAACCGATGCGTTAGCAGAACTTATAGGCATATTGTAAAATATAGACTGGATTGGATTTGTAAAACATGCACTGGATTTGTAAAACATGGATTTGTAAAACATCGATTTGTAAAACATGGATTTGTAAAACATGGATTTATGGAAACATGATAACATTGTTCGACTGTTTGTTTGTTTATTTGTCTGTCTGTCCCATTTTAATCTTAATTGTTTTCCTTTATATCATTTTCCTTTTATATTACCTAATGATTTCTCTAAAAGATTGTTTGATGTTGAGTTTGTATTAGCATTTGGAAATTTTTAAGAATAATCAAGAAATACGAGAAGCACTCGCTTACAGCGAGTAACCATTCTCAGCATTTTCGGCATTAATGACAACCCAGGCGGGGCTCAAGCATGTTTTGTCCGATGCGAAAGACGCAGTGATCATCAAAATAAACTTTCACTCACCACAAATGCAATGAAAGGTGCACTTGATGCCCATATTGCAGAGCAAATATGGAGGAAAGCCGAACGTCTTCTCTCGCAGCCTGACAATGTTATGCCAGCTCCGGCAGCTGATAAAAGTTGTAAGGCATTAAACCGTGTTATCGGAATCAGGTCCACGACTTGTACCCACGACCCACGACCCACGACCATTAGTCAAACTCAACCCACAGTGCTCGAGGTCTGTCAATAATAAATCATACTTCTGGTTTATTTACCTTGAAGCAATCTTCGGCATCAGTTTGTATATTGTAGGCTGTAAGCTACATGTAGTTCTAGTGTGTGTATCTCCGTGAACAGTGCCATAGGTAG